CTTCGGGCCAGGTGAGCTAGAAAGAAATATATTTACACGTATTTTCTACTCCCAAATGGATAATTGATATACTATTACCAATACGAAGTTAATGTATATATCTTATTTTATTTCTAAGTTTATAAGTTAGAAATCATACTCTCTTGTTTCTGAAATGGTGAAACACGTTGTATCTGTTTATTGTTTATGGCAACTTTGGATAATATCAGAGGGGACAAATCCTTATCATCTCATAGAGTTGTCGTGTAAGTGTTTACATAAAACAAGACAATTAAAAAGGTCTTTATATAGATGCATCGTTCGCATTTTTAAAACATCCATGTTGTTGAGGTACATGTAATTAATTCTTAACTTAATAGAAATAAGAAGAACATTAGTTGTTCGACCTGCTAGTCAAATGCGTTTTTGTCAGGGTTTAAGAAGACCTATTGTCAATGGTTTTTCTTAAACTGACATAATCAAAAACACTAACAGTTACTGTAAAAAGTAAAATAACAAAAAACCCGAACTCCAAGGAAAATTCAAATCGGAAAGTCCCTTATCAAATGGCAAAATCAAAAGCTCTACACATCAAACGAATGGAAAACAACTGTCATATTCCTGACTTTGTAAGTGATGCAAAACTTTCGCAGTCAATGAACTATCGGTCAGGGGGCGAGGCCTTATTGTCTCCATAAAAATATACCAATGCTAATACAAATGCATACCAAATATCCATTGACTTATCGTAAGTGGTCCCCATTTTAATAAAAAAAAAAAATGCATGAAGATTAAAAAGGCCAAGAACTGCATTCGATAGGTTCAAATGTGGAAAGTAAGAACATAATTTTTTAGTTGTGAACTAGAAGTTGTTTTCCTTTTCCATTACTTAAAGTAAATTTTATTTTCCAACGATCATATATTTGACATGCCTGAAAACTCTTGTATGATATTTATCTAAACACATTTCTAAGTGAACACATTACAAACACATGTCTTGAATATAAATACTTTTAAATGTGTTTTAGAATTAAACGTTTTTAGGACTTAAACACTAATTTCTAAGCTAAACATGATCCTAAACACAATCCTAAACACTTTCTTCAATCTAAAAACGAAATTAAACATGTTAAAAAAAAGTGCGCACACAATGTATATGTGTTTAGAGTTGTGTTTAGGATTTAAACACAATTTTTACAGTTAACATGTAGTGAGTATATCGGAAATGCATGTTCTATGTGTTCATATAGAAATGTAATAGATGTTATGTCGATGCCACCAATTTGAACGAAAATTCGGGCCGGTCTATACAACATGACTTGATTTTATCCTTCACACACACATAAAAAAGTATAACAAAAAAAAAAACGAACTCCAAGACAAAATCAATAAAATGCTCCGCTTGGCGCAGCTTGATACGACCGCAGAGGTCGAACCCTGAACAGATGGGGCAAGTATGGACATAACATTCAAGCTTGATACACACTGAATTTGGATTGTGGTTAAATATTTGACACAGCATAGGTTTCTGACACAGAATGAATGTGGTCTAAGAACTTATAAATTTTTAATTTACCTATTCAAACCATATCATTATTATTTGCTTTTATATATAAATCAGAAATAACCAATTTAAAATGGAAAATTTTAAAGAAAAAAAAAGGAAACAAAGGAAAAAAAATCCCTCTCCCCAAATTTTTTGAACCCCCTTATGATTCATCACCCCCAAACCCAATCTCAGCCTTCCCTTAGTGGTATGGTACCTTGCAGTACAATTTCAGAGAGATCCATACACATGAACACAAGTTATTGTCTGGAAACTATATAAAAATTCTTGTTTTTTTGCCCCTTTTTGTCCTCAAATTCCTAAACGTTTAGGGCAATTACCCCCAAACTCAAACCCAGCTTTTCCTTTGTGATATGGAACCTTGTAGTACAATTTCATATAGATCCATAAACTTACACACGAGTTATTGTCCTGAAACTAGAAAAATGCTTTTTTTTTGCCCCTTTTTGGCCCCTAATTCCTAAAATGATGAGGCAATTATCCCCAAAATAAATCCCAGCCTTTCCTTTGTGGTATGGTACCTTGCAGTACAATTTCAGAGAGATCCATACACTTGAACACAAGTTATTGTCTGGAAACTAGAAAGATGCTTATTTTTGGCCCCTTATTCCTAAACGTTTTGGGCAATAACCCCAAAACTCAATTCCAGCTTTCCCTTTGTGATATGGAACCTTGTAGTACAATTTCAGAAAGATCCATACACTTACACACAAGTTATTGTCATGAAACTAGAAAAATGCTTGTTTTTTGCCCCTTTTTGGGCCCCTATTTCCTAAAATTTTGAGGCAATTACCCCCAAAATCAATCCCAGCATTCCCTTTGTGATATGGAACCTTGTGGTACATGTACAATGTCAGAGAGATCCATACACTAACACACAAGTTATGTCTGGAAGTTACAAAAATACTTATTTTTGGCCCCTTTTTGGCCCCTTTTTGGCCCCTAATTCCTTAACTGTTGGTACCATAACCCCATAAATCTATCCCAACCTTCCTTTTGTAGTATCGAACCTTATGGTAAAATTTCATAGAGATCCATTCATTTAAACTAAAGTTAGAGTGCGAAACCCAATGTGTCTTCGGACGACGACGACGACGACGACGACGACGACGACGACGACGACGCCAACGTCATACCAATATCCGACCGCAGAATTTTTTTGCGGTCGTATAAAAAGGGGATCTATCAACGGAACAAGTGAAAAACATCTGCCATATAACTTTTATCTAATACAAATATGTTTGAAGAACAATTAAGAATTTCGAAAGATGACTTTGTCTCAAAAGTTCATTTTGACAATAAGAAATGGGCTAAGACTGCTACCTGATAAAACATGAAACGTATAGTTACAATTAAAACATATCGCAACTACATTTAAAAAAATATCGCATCTTCAACAAAATAAATAGCATTTGATTATTTATTTACAAAAGAAAAACGTATAGCAGTACATTTTTTACAAGGACATAAACTTTTGCGTTTACTTTGATATTTAGCATATTTCAAGACTTAATTTTCGTTTATATTTAAATGATAGGTTAACAGTTTGTATGTTCATACAAAAATCTTACCTTGATGCTCGTTTAACTGGTATATTTGACATTTTGTCCTTTGAAAAGGACATCGAAAGGCTTATAATAATCGATTTCACACTCTTTTGATTGATGGTAATACATAAAACTCTTAAATAACTTCGGACTGAACGTATTTATATATTTAAATATTAAAAAAAAATATTGCAAAAAACATCTTTTTCCTCATGAAGTGTCTGCATATTTACAATTTCACATTAGAAAATATCACGACTACACATAAGAAACGGTTTTCTCGATTCGCACTTTCCATAGACTGATTATTCTATCTTGTATGTTAATGGAAACGAAATTACCCGTAGATTTTAAATCATAAAAATAACAAAAAGTGAGAGAAATTATCTGCTTCCTCAATTATCAATTGTTGTTCTACATGATATCTGAAATATTTTAGGTTTGATCAAACTTTTATGAAGAATATCATTTTCTTATCTTTTTTTTCTATGGTGTACTTGTTCAGCCACCTTGTACAAACTTAGAAATTTCAATAAAGATCGCCTATATTAGGCAGGTCACCCTCTTCTTGTCCCGCTGTAGTGCATGTATAACATGTACCAGTGCACTGTGGAACTCAATTTCAATTTCAAGGGTGACCTCTGTTATACTGTCAGTTTTCTTTGGTACCGACTTTAATATATAGGTTTGACTGTACGACATGAACATCACATGTGTGTTACTTGTATCCGATGAATACAGCGCACTTTTGTCCAATTGCATTCTTTTCAAATTGTAAGATTCATAAGGACTCACGGATGTTTTCATCACAAAATATATCATTAAGTTATACATCTTTCAAGATTTAAAATATATGATAAAAGATGGATATTCCGTATTCTGGCTTCCCACCCTTATGACAAATCACTGATTAATAAATTGATTGGCGATTGCTTAATTAACATCGCTTTAGCACTTCACAATACAGTGGCGGATTTACCGGGGGGGCACAGGGGGCACGTGCCCCCCCAGTTGTGGTCACGAAAATTTTTTTTTATCACACAATTTTCTTGCGACACAATCCGATTATCTAAAGATGCCAGATGTGCGGAAATGTTTAATTACCTCACAGCTTGATTTGACTTCCTTACGAGTCGGTTAATTGGCTTTAGTTTCAACACGTGTGATTTATTACCCCCTTTACAATTTATCGATCAGCAGCGTGTAAATATTGACAGTTATGTGTAATGTCTATTACCAAAAGCTTTTATATAAACTACGTGCCGATTGGTGAAATCTTCTGTTCAAAAAAGAAATGACAAATCAAAATAGTTCTTTCATAAAATAAGTAAAAATAGATGTTTAGTGTCTATAAACACGTGCTGTTTGTTGATATATAGATATGGCGATGTTAAAACAAATATTGCAATTAAAAATTAATGAGAAAAATGATCAACAACTGAATTATGAAGAGACAGATATCCATCCAGAGTTTTTTTGGGAGTTCCTCGAAACGACAGAAAAGTGATGAAACTCGAACCACAAGAAATGAAGACTTTACAAATGCAGAATCAGCCGTAAATGATAGGTAAATGAATATTTTCACTTTCTCTTGTAATCATTTCGTTTTCATTTTTTACCCTTTTAGAGAACGAAAGAACGTACAAAATAATTGGTTAAATCGAAATTCACCGTATCATTGAGGGTCTGGATGGGGTTAACAGAATAGAGATATAGAAAAATGAAAAAAAAAATATATGAAAAATGTGTGAAAAAGAATAATTGTACAGAATAATAAGGTGCAAAAGTATAAAGAATAACTGTGGAAGATAACATAATTAGGTCATACAATACTGATTAAAAAAATGAAGGATACACGGAATAAAAAAAATATAATTGCAGAAGAAAAATTGATGAGAAATACACAATCTACACAAAAGGTGTGTCAATTCCTGATACTTTCAAGTTCCCTTCTACAAAAATAGCTGATAAAAACAGATGCTTTCGGAGAGAATGGATCTCCAAGTATCCAGGCTTAGTTTATAGCATAGAGGAGGATGGAGCATACTGTCTTCATTGTGTTTTATTTGAGAAGGAACCTGAAAAAAGAGGCAAACTTGTCAATGCCCCTTTCAAAAACTGGAAAAAGGCATTGGAAGTATTTGATGAACATTTTTGGGGGAAAAGTACCAAAAGTTTAAAACGAGGTGGTACAGGTTATCAGAGACACATGCAGTGTGTAACAAAAGGTGAAATGTTTGTTCAGCAGGTCAATCAACAGACTAATGTACACATGACCATGAATCATGGTTTAGAGAGCCGCAAGGAGAAAAATTTGATGGTTTTGGAATCAATTGTAAAGACCGTCCTTATTTGTGGAAGACAGAACTTTGCTCTTCGAGGCCACAGAGATGATGCAAAGCACATTGTAAATGGAAATACTGCAAATATTGGAAATTTTCAAGCACTTTTGGACTTCAGAATAGATGCTGGTGATAACTTTCTTGTAGAACATTTCAAAACAGCCCCCAAAAATGCTACATACAGGTCAAAGACTGTTCAAAATGAAATTATTGACATTATAGGAAATATCATTAGATCAAAAATAATCAAAGACATAACAGACAGTGGAGGGATGTTTTCTGTATCTGCAGATGAAGCTAGAGATGTATCCAACACTGAACAGTTAGCCGTGTGTCTACGTTTTGTTGATTTGGCAGGTAATAACTAATATATCAACTAATAAACTGGGCAACTTATTAGAAATTTAAAAAATATATATTGATTAATCATTTATAATCTATTGTTTCAAACTTAACAAAAAAAAGGCATATGTACAGCTGTACATGCATGTATTATCTGCAACTATATTTAAGCAGTTAATCCAACTGCTATTAAAGTATCTGTTTTAACATGCAAACTATATGCATGTGCATGTATAAGATATACAATAACAGTGAAAAAAAATAATTAAATAATTTTGAATTAAATTTCTATTTTAAAAGGTGTCATTAGAGAAGAGTTTGTTGACTTCATAGAAGTGAGTGATGATACAAGTGGAGAGAGACTATCCAATGAGCTACTGAAGCTGCTTCCAGAAATGGGACTAGATTTAAATCTGATGAGGAGCCAATGTTATGACGGCGCAGGTAAACCTCGTTTAATATACCTCAGTGTGTAAACAGTCGAATTTGTTTAATGATGAATATACTGTAAGAATAGTTTTGTTACAATTTGACATGCTCTCTAATTCTTTGCACCTGTCATTGTATGTTTTAAATGATGTGTGCACATTCACATATATATACTTTTTCTCCAGGTAATATGACTGGACATTTGAAAGGAGTTGGTCCCAGAATTCAAAGGATATACCCAAAGGCATTACACTTTTGGTGTACAGCTCACCAGCTAAACAGATGTATAGTTGCTGCTGCTAACATTCCATGTGTCAGGAATATGATGGGAACTGCAGATAAGGTATACAATTAATGCATTTCTATTCATTTCTCATAGGATAATACTATAAAAAAAAATTGTCATAAACCAGTAATTAAATGTGTATCATATGTATTGCTTGATTATTTTGATCAACCTATAAGTCTTTATCTTTGACAGGTAGTCAAGTTCTTTAATTGGTCTCCTAAAAGGCAATCATTCCTAGAGGATCAGCTTCAAAATTACAGAAATGAAACAAAAAGAATGAAATTGAAGGAGTTATGCAGAACAAGATGGGTAGAAAGACATGATGCCTTTGAGATTTTTTGGGATTTCCTTCCAGCAATAATAGAAACCATGGAAAAGATCAAATCAGTGGACAAAAGCCCGGTTGCAATAAGTGACACACAAAGCCTAGAAAACAACATTACATCCTGTCAATTTCTAGTCTCCCTGCTTGTGACAATGAGATGTATTGGATACCTAAAACAACTTAGTACATCACTTCAAGGTACTGTCAGTAACTGTCTAAGGGAAACAACTCTTATTTAATTTGATATTGTAAAGGAGCAAAAAAACAGAAACAATTTTTTTTCTTCAATTTATTTACATTACAAAAAGAACATGTTACCATCAACAACATATTGTTATTAGATTTCAAAATCATATACACAAAATTAAACCTGCTGATTGATTTGGTCAATAACCACAGGAAAAAAGGGAGATAACTCAAATACTGTATTCACAGATCTGATTTAATTAGTCACAACTTAACCAAATATATTTTTTTCTTTAGGTAGAGCTGTTGATGTTGTGAGTGCTCTTGAGTCAGTTAGCCTTGTCAAGGAAGCTTTACAGGATGTTAGAGACAATATTGGTGAATTTCATGCTAAGTGGTATTCAGAAATATTGAAGTTGGCAGATGAGTTAGATGTAACCCCATCTAAACCAAGAACATGTGGGAGGCAGACAAAGAGATCAAATGTGCCATGTGAATCAACAGAGGATTATTACAAGAAAACAATTGCTATCCCTCTGCTTGATCACATGTTAACAGAAATGAACTCAAGGTTTGGTGACCTGCAAATCAAGGCATCCATGGGACTTCAGGTAATACCTGCCATGATTTCTCAATCCTCAACTAATGATTTTGAGTACTTTGTGGATGATTTACCATCTCCATCAACACTGGAGCAAGAAATGCATATGTGGAAGTTGAAATGGGCAAATGAGTCTGATCCACCTTCAGATATAAACACAGCATTACAAAACTGTAACTCTATTATATTTCCAAATGTGCACCAAATTTTGAAAATTTGTGGAATATTTCCAGTAACATCCTGTGAGTGTGAGAGAAGTATCAGTAGACTGAGACTTGTGAAGACATACTTACGATCAACAATGTCAACAAGCAGGTTATCTTCCTTAATCATGATGTATGCCCATAGGAACATTACTGTAAATCCAAAGGAGGTGGTGATGCAGTATGCAAGGAGAAATCCTAGGAGAATAGTGCTACCAGACATTCTTGTAGATTAACTTTATTAGACATACTCTATTGTACACATGCTTATATGCCTCTTATTTCAATTAACATATATACATATCTATACAACTCTTTAAATTTTTGTCATGGTGCCCCCCCAGTCATAGAGGTTCTGGATCCGCCCCTGCAATAAGACTATATCAAGACGAGTTTTCACTTATCAAAGTGCACTACCAAAAATGGACACGTTTCATTACATTTGTTCGAACTTTGAACTCATTATACTTCTGGAACAGTATCAAATATAGTCTATATATTAAGCGTAACCAAATTCTTTTTTAAAATATGACGAAGGAAAAAGCCACTATTTATGTTATAAAAAAAAAAGAAAACATACCCAAATATCATTAAAAACAAAGTATTAAACAGATTTTAAAAGTTTGTTTCAAATTTTCTACGCAATTTACATTTATGTTTCGATGAAAAACATATGTGCACGTACTGGTAGCGTTGTGATATAATATTACTTTCAAATGTACCTTTTAATCAATCACAGATGAACAATCATCAACAGAAAATGGAGTCTAAAAAGAGTCATTTGCTACTAAACTGCATTTTTGTCTGTACATGCGCTAGATTTCTGTTTTTCTAATAACAATGTACGTTTTCTGCGTGTAGTGTGGACATACAGTTGTCGTTTGTCCATAAGTGATTTCAAATTTGTAGAAATAACTCTGTAGGGTAATATTTAGAAAATGCTAAATTGATGTCAAAAATACAGAAAACTGATTGTCACAATTATAACCAAACGTCAATGAAGGCGGTTTTAGTGATTACATTATGGATTGCACGCTGGGTACGGTGACGGAAATGTTCATTTTTACAGTGCATACATTATCACGCACGGTTTCTTATAAAACCATTGTAAATACATTTTTACACATCTCAAATGACAACGGTGCAATATTGAATAATTATTTCACTGTGTAAGAAAATGTAACTCGTTCATTTGAATTCTTTAGGATTTTAACGAATATAAAATGCAAGGCAAGAGTAACTCGATATATCACGACACCTCCTTATCAAATTTAACACTTGGGACGCACGATATTTGATACAGAAGAAGAGTGTCCATTTGCATTTGATAATAGGTTTTCTTTCGGAATAACTGTGTTACACAATACTTACTTATGAAAAGGGTATTTTTGTGATGCATAGACTGTCTTACGGAAAGCAGTACTGACACAAACATTGATAATGCCTGAGTCGAAGGCGAGGACGTTATCAATGTTGCAGACTATACTACTGTAACTGTTACAAGGACAGTCTATTTATTTGATAATGCATTATTCATAAGTGACGTAGGCGAGTGAAAACAGTTGGGGTTAACTCACAAAATTTACAAAGTTGGAGAGGATTAAAAACAAACAAAAAATACAAATAAATTGTACCTAATTTGGATAATGCCATCTATGCCTTGAAGGTAGACAAAATCTAGTTTTTAAAAGGATTTTAACATTTAATAAAAAGAAAAAACAAACGCATCTATATTATATCAGCAAATTGGCGTTGACAACTGGGCAGCAACTGTTACTGCTCTGCTATTCTCGCTACGCCTAAAATAATTTAATTATTGTAGGCATAGCAGCGAGAATGACAAGAGCAATTACAATTGTACTGGGCAAGTTATACTCTCGTTATTTTAATCTATTAAAAAATTGGTGATATCATTATTCTGTAAAAGTTTAAACGCAAGATTACATTCCTGTTTTGCATAGAAAAAACGTCAAAATTAATGTTGATTATCAATTGAATACACTATAACATGTGTACGGAAGATTCTTGGAAAGTTCCATTGATATCTAGTTAGTGGTTTGAGAGGTATTTAAGACACAAAATGTCTATCCCTTATTGAAGTGGGGCAAAATCGGTGAACCCCTAAAATAATTTGCAGATAAAGTAAGTATTCACCATGACATAATGTCATAATAAGTATATGTAAGAAATTTTCTGTGAAGGTTTTTAATTAAATCCAGACTGTGATTTAGGATAAATTTCCGATAAAGATATGATGAAGCAGCTGCGGATTTAAGATGCAGAGAACCTTTGATGAAATGAAGAAGTTCATGCGTTGTTATTGGAAACACGAACACAGTTACAGACATGCGTTCATGTCCTTCTGCGACTATGTACTAATGAAATGCACTCGACTTCATTCATACAACCAAACAACTATCACGCGTAAACATAGTTTTACTTACTATCTCCTTTTATTTCCTATTCTCAACCAGAAAACATATTGTTAAAACACAATATTGTCGATAAAAAGGACAATGGAAAATTATGTTTTGATACTGACTCCATCAGCTCGAATATTATCTCGCCTTAGCGGTCTCGCATCATATTCTTGCTGATAAAGTCAGTATTAAAACAAAAAATGCCATTATTCTATATTTACCGTCACTTTTACAAATCGTCACGAAAAACACTGCTCATATTGTGAAAATATTGTCTTCAAAATAAGTTAGATCATTTGAATATCAAACGATATGATAGGATTTATCAACCAAGACAATGATTGGTCCATCTTGTTGTTAAACTATATTTTGACTTCAGAAAGGAGTAAAATGTATACAATTCATATATAACAAGAACATAAAAAAAATGTGATATTCTTAACACTTTTGTGATCCCACTTGCAGATGTAGTATGTTAACGTAAGAATTACGTCAATTATAGATGTAATAGACTATTTTCATAAAACCGACTTTTGTCTCCGGATTTAATATTTTTCGACAGGTTACCTTTTCTGTAGGAGGATATCCTGGTACTCGGTCAAGTAAGAGAAACTTAAAGAAGTAAAATCAAGCTAACAATCGATACAATTTGGAGGGAAAATTAATTGTTTTATGTTTTCTATACACAACAAAATCATTAGAAAACAGGTAATTTCCCCCGAATTGCGACGATTATATGTTTGAGTTTACTAATTTTAGTAGCTCGTACTAGACAGTGTACCAGGATGTCCTACCCATAGAGTAGGTAACCTGTCGAAACAATATATAATCCGGAGTCAAAAGTCGGTAATATGAAAAAAGTAAATTGCAGTTTGGGTACAAAATTTTAAACACTTTCAGGTTTGCAATGTAAAACCAATGGCTGGTATCTTCCATTAAGAAGCAATTTTGTAGTTTGTACGTCGTAAATATACTCGACTGTATAGAAATATTATCATTATCCTGCAACCAGCCAACTATTGTACAAAAACAATTACACAAATATATTTTTGCTTTATCTATACACATATTATACTGTGTCTTTTTATGTTGTAATGTTACACTACTGTCTCGAGTTGGGTGAAGGTTGGCGCCTGTTAAAACGTTTAAACCCGCTGCATTTTATGCACCTGTCCTAAGTCAGGAGCCTGTTGTTCAGTGAATGTCGTTTGTTGGTGTGGTTCATAGATGTTTCTCGTCTTGTTTTCATATAAATTAGACCGTTGGTTTTCCTGTTTGAATTGTTTTACACTAGTCATTGTGAGGCCCTTTATAGCTTGCTGTTCGGTGTGAGCCAAGGCTCCATGTTGAAGGCCGTACTTTTACCTATAATTGTTCATTTTATATACATCGTGACTTGGATGGAGAGTTGGCACTCATACCACATCGTCTTATTAATATGTACAAATAAAGTCTCCTGTTACTCCGCTTCTATATTGAACAAACGGTAATGTGAATATTTCTTTTGTGAAAAATATTGTTATTAGATCTACCCTACTTACGAAGGCTATATCTACAGCTTAAAACTTGTCGTAGGGTAATTTATATTTCTCTTTGCACGTCGCTATTTTTTTTTTTTAATTATTTTTAAACTTTTTAAATGAAGGGTTTTACCTTGTCAAGACATTAACATGTGCCAGCCATCGCAGTTCTGTTGGTTTTCTAAACAAACTGTCGTTTCTATAGAAGTGTTATAAAAGTGACGGTTGTCTTAAGTTGAAAAAAAAGGGGGGCTGCTTGCCTTTTCTTAAAAAAGACGTTTACCATCTCTGTTTGGGTTTCTTTGTGTCGCTCATTCCTATGTTGTTTCCTGCATTGTGTTTTGTTCAGTATTTATTTACTTTTTGTCACATTAAACCCTTATCATATAAATAAAAAACTTGAAGAAACTTTAAGAAAATGGTAAATGCTTCTTCGAACGATTTTAGTATGACGTAATATGCAACTTCCTTCTACCAAATTTCTTACAAATAAATTGTGATAGGTAATTTACGAGTTAAATTTGTATAAGTTGCTTAACAAGACTACTTAAGCTAAAAACAGTAGCTCTTTTCTGACAATAAGGATATAAGTTACAATAACTTATTATTATGATCGTTCGTACGAATCCTATTTCAGGGGCACATAATACGTATTTCATTATTAACCTTCATCCGATCCAAATGAATCCAGAAGTTTTAGAAGCCAAGCACATAAAACATGAAAGAGCATACTTACACCAAAAAGAGCTTTAACAAAAAGAGTGATATACACATCCGAGATAACCTTTCCCTGAGAGAGTAACACAGGTCTATAACATAATTGAAGGCAATATTATAGTTTTAAAATAATGAATGTTTTCTCAGTGGCCCTGCTATATATATGGCTACGATTTGTAATAATGGTCTTAGTATATTTGTCAATGCAAATATTTCCACATATATATCCGGCTTTTACAGCCAACAGGGCATTATACCGTGGCCATAATTGATAAACCAGTACTAGTCATTATGACTTTTTTCAAACATTTAATATTAAACTAATAAAGCAATTTTCATACCAGTAGAACCACATTTCAGACTTTTTTTCACATTCAACCCCGTTTGTTGAAAGGCATACATGCATCTAATGATTGATTGATTGATTGGTTGGTGTTTTAACGCCATTTTCAGCATTATATCGCTATTTCGTGGCAGTCAGTTATTATTGGTGGAGGAAGCCGGGAGTGCTCGCAGAGAACCACTGACTTTGGGTAGGAAAAATAATTAAAGAAGAAATAAACCTGAGAGATATTATAATTATAATGCAATAACCTGTCTTGGCAGGTCAATCTCTTCTTCTTCCCACAGTGCGATGTGAAACGCAATTCAAAATGACATCTCTGTAAGAAGGTCAGTGTTCTCTGTTACCGACTTAA